AAAATTATTAAATGATAAATAAACACCAATATAAAAGACTTTAAGGCAACATTTATTTTTGTTTTTATAGCTGTACGACGAGGGCTTTGAAATGTTTAAATGAACTCAAACATTTAAATTTATTGAATGACAAACAAATGCAAACACAAAATATTTTAAAATGTTTTTAAAACGCAAATGTCTAAAGTGTATAAAAAGTGTATTTTAGACTAATTCAACGGTAAAATATTCATATAAATTCAAATATATAAAATTAAAATGATGTGATGTTCGAATATCCTCTTCAAATAAATTAAAATGTCTGAAAATGCAAATGACGTATATACGCATATATAGATACATTTACATATACATATATATTATATATGTGTATGCATGTATGTATGTATATGCAAGAATATATATATGCATGCATATTTGAAGTAATAAATGTAAGGCGGCGCATTAATAAATGCACATATCTAAATTATAAGAAGATATATTAAAGGCTCAACTGTTTGAACTAATAAATGATAGAAAAGTTGAGGCAAATGAAATTGGAAATAACAATAAATAAATTCAAATATTTAAATTAGAAGATGATGCAGAGAGAAATTTATTTATCCGCATTTATAAAATAATACATATTTTTTAATATACACAAACGAAAATATATCGATAAGATAATTAAAAACAAACACATGCAAAAACGAAATTTAAGTGTATTTTCTATTCGCACAATATGCAACGAAAGTAAACAAATTAATTTTGAGAATTAAAAGAAAATTACGGTTTGATATCTTAAATTTTTATGCTATAGATTCATATTATCGATTTTTTTCGAAGGGCATCTGTTATATATAGACATTAGGCATACAGACATATGTATACATATACATACAGTACATAAGATATATATATATATATATGCACATATATATATTATATACTATCTATATGTCTATATATATATATATATATATATGAAGGCTGATAGGCATGAAGTGTTTTGGGGTATTATCGCTGCTGTACAAATGAAATATAATTAAAACTTTTTTTGACATATTCGAGTGATTCAAAAGAAAATATAAGGGCCCTGGAAGGCTTTGAGTCCCAGGTATATATATATATATATATATATATATATATATTATATATATGTTTTTATATATGGTCTTCTTCCTTTGCTTAATAATAATAATTATTATGCATAGCACGTAGCAACATGCAAATATAGAGATACCTTACCCTGCGGTAAATTATTGTTTTTTTGTCACAGGTATTTGTATGTGTTTTTTCGTCTCTTTCTTTCTTTCCTTTTCTTTCTTCTTTTCTTTCATTCTCTCTCTATCTCCTTCTTGCTCTGTCTCTGTCTTTATTGCTTTGCTGCTTGCAACAAGACAAAGCAAAACACTGTAATGCCAAAGGCAACTCAGCATTAAAGAATGTTTCATCTTCACATTCGGTGGGGAAAAACGGCTTAGTGGTTTAGGGTTTAGGGTTTAGGGTTTAGGGCTTAGGGTTTAGGGTTTACTGAACGACAAAGAAATACATGAAAAGCGAAGGTGAGACAACAAATAAAGAATTCAAATGCAGAGGCTTAAGTATCTCCATTAATTGCGTTTTTACCCCTTTTAACAGCGGAGAGTACTTCAAAGAAAAACAACAATTTTCAATGATCCCTTTTGCTGCTTTGAATATTTTTCAATAAAATGCAAAGAAGAAGACTCCACGCAAACAAGAAATATGAAATAATGGCGTAGATGAACAGTCCTTAGGGCAGACAAATGCCTTGAATAATTCTGACAATAACAATAATAACAATAATAATACTATAAATAATAATAAAGGCAAGCAAAGGAAGTAAACATCTGCAACTTTTCAAAGCACTTCCCTGAAAGATATCGAAGTCTTTTTCGTTGTGTTAGGCTGTCTGTTGATGCAACAAACGCGAGGAGGAATCCACGTGAATGTAGAGCAGTTTAGTTACTTTAATTGTTTAATTTCTAAATTTAATTGAATAGGTTTAACTATTTTTTAATGAAATGTAAAGCCAACGGCGCCTGTTGTCTGCCGTTCACGCATCGTTAGTATACCGCAGCCGACAGATGGAGCAGAGAGCTGCATTTTAAGAGTTTTGATGTCTACTTCTCTCTTTATATTTAAACAATAAAACTAAAAGTTGAATAAACATACATGCAGCAGTTTAAACATCTCAAATTACTTCTCTTTTCCCTCCTTCTTGGCTTTCTTCCCCAGGAAATCAACGCAGCCTAAATAGAAACTCCTTTACAAGGGCGGGTTTTGCAAATCTTCTTGAAATTAGGAGTGTGCAATCGCAGAGTTCTTAGGGAATTAGTTCTTAATTTAAGTAAATTAAAACAAATTAAAGAAAATTAATAAATCTCCCAGATATTCGCTGCTAGAATAGCCGCTGCGGCTTCTGTAGTCGTCGGCGGTCCGGGCGAGATCCTTCACGTGATTAGATGACAAGAAAGAGAGCTGTCTGAAGAATACTTGTTATTTTTGTCTGAATATCTGTGAATTTAATGTAGATATTACATGTAACTGTCTGAAAATAGAATATTATTAGAATATATTTTTGCTTTTTTCTCGCTTTCATCCCATATATTTCCGCTAGTGCACATTGGAGGCCGTGCGAGGCCTAAGAAGCCTCTGTGCAGATTCATCGGCGCATCTGAGTTTTCTGTCTTCAAATGGTATTTATAAGTTTTCTAATGATTAATATTGAAGTATTGTTTTAGATATTTCGTCTGAATCAAGAGGATATACGAGGAAGGCCGGCTTTCCTTCTCTTCTCGCATCGGCGGCGACTGCAGAGCCAACCGCCAGTTCAACTTTCCTGTCTTTCTTCTTCTTGAGGGTCTAGCTATATTTGCAGCCTCTAAAAGAAGCTTATTATTTTTTTGTATTTCTCTGAATATACTTTGTATTCTTCTGCAGATCTGCCGATCCTTCCTCGTCATTCATGCGCGCAGTTCATCTTTCCTTCTGCTCGTTTCTCGGCCTCAACTAGAGCAAACAATGGAGAAAAGAAGCAAAAATTGATTTAAAATGTTTTCTTAACTTTTTGCTTATCTTATTCTTCTGTCTGCAGCCCCTATTGCTGGTCTTAGTTCTCCCTTTCTGCGCTCTAAACCGCCAGCCAGCAGCATAGTTTTACGTATTGATGCTTCAGCTGCTGCAGACACATATGAATTTGTTTTGAGGTGTTTTACTTTTTATTTTATTCTTCTATATTGTCTACAGGCTTAATTCTTCTTTTTCTGTGCTTCTTTCTTTATTAAACTGCGCGCTCTTGAACAGTATTTCTTGATTTTATTTCGGAAGAATATTAATGCAATATTACTATTTTATTATTAGTTTTCTGCATTTGTTTTTTGATTTAAAAAATATGGAGAGCTTAAAGCCTCAGACGCCGATTAACTTACCTCTCGTAACGTCTGAGTTGTTTTTCTCTACAGACGAGGCAGCACCTCTGCAGCCTCTGGGGGCCTCGCCTGCAGCAGCAAAGACAGCAGCAGCAGAAGTATTAACAGCAGAAGCAACAGCAACAGAAGCAGAAAGAGATCTTTCTCTTTCTGCTGCAGCAGCAGAAGGGAGGAGCGATGATGGGGGCTCCTGGTTTGCAGCACAAGAGGAGGCTGAAGAAGAAGCAGAAATTTACGTGGATATAAGCAAAGAACTGGCGGCTATTGAGGGGGCAAACGCAGTTTCTTTTTACCTGTCTGCTGCAGCAACAGCAGCAACAGGACTAGCAGCAAGAGCAGCAACAGCGACAGAAGCAGCGGATTCCTACTTGTTACACGATGAGCGACTTGGGCTGCTGCTGCCTCCTGCAGCACATCTTTCTCCTTTATATTTAGCCGGAGGGAGAGATAATTACAGCAGCAGCAGCGCCAGTGCTGTTGCTGCTGCTGCTGCTGCTGCAAACAGCCGCCGGGAGCACTGGCGGCAGCACTCCTCTATTCATCGATCTGCAGGCTGGCCAAGGCAGACGAAGGGGAAGCTGAAAGCCCCTGCTGCTGCTGCTGCTGCTGTTGATGCTTCTGCTGCTACTCTCGGGCCGCGTTGCTGCTTCGCTGCCTCTTCGCTGCCTCCGCTGCAGAGACTTCCCCTCTTTGAAGAAGAGGAACGGGTTGCTGCAGACAGCAGCAGCAGCAGCAGGAGCAGCAGCGACAGCACCGACTGGGATCTCGCTAGCCTTCTGGGGTCTGTGGAGAGAGCTCGCCTGCGGCTGCAGCAGCAGCAAGCAGCAGAAGACAAAATCGATGCAGCTTTATACGCTGGCGGCTTCTTTCAATTCTCTAACAGCGCTGCAGCAGCAACAAGTCTGTTGGCTGCAGGCCGCAGCAGCAAAACTGCTGCCCCAACTCATGCGTCAGCAGCACCAGCATCATCAGCGGCAGCAAGAGTAGCAGCAGCAGCAGTAACGCCAGGAACAACAGTGCGCCCTGCTGCAGCGGATACAGCACCGGTGGGGCAGCTAGCAGTAGCAGCAAAAGCTGCTGGAGTTTCAGCTGCTGCTGCTGCTGCTGCTGGGATCGGCGGGATGAAGGGTGCCGTTGGAGAGTCACGCGGAGGGCCGGAAGGGCTGCGGGAGTTTGCTGCTGCAACGCATGCATTTGCTGCACCTAATGGACCTGTGCAGCAAAAAGCAGCAGCAGCAGCAACAGCAACAGCAGCTGCAGCAGCAGCAGCAGCTTGCCCGCGTAAGGAAGAGAGGGGGCTGAGATATTCCTCTCAAAAAACCATTAACAGCAGCAGCAAAACAGGGTTTGACCTGCAAGTAGCTGCTGCTGCTCCTGCCGCTGCTGCTGCTGCTGCTGCTGCAGGGATTGAGGCCGAGTTGGCTGCGGAGGTGCGGCGCAGCACTCAGCTTTGTTTACAAGTAAACGAGTTGAAGGCAGAGGTGAAACGAATCCAAGACGAAGCAGACAGGCAGACAGCAGCAGCAAATGCTGCAGCACACGTACGGAAACTGCTGCTAAACTGGAGGAGAGAAGAAACGCTGCGGCAGCGCCGCCGCGAGCAGCAGCAGCAGCAGCAGCAGCAGAAAGAGCAGCAAGGAGATCAGCTGCACCAGCAGCAGCACCAGCAGCAGCAAGAGGAATCAGAGGACGGAGGTGCTGCAGCATTTGAGTGTCTGCATGCAATCGAGTATGTGCTGAAGCAAGACTGCGCAGCAGCAGCAGCAGCAGCAGCAGCAGCGGGATCTGTGGAAGAGGACATGCAGCAGGAGTTAGAGCGATGCCGAGAGAGAGCAAAGACAGCCGAGCTAGAGTGTGAGTCTTTAAAGAATGAGGTATCTTTCTTAAAAGCAGTTAATACACAGCTGCAGCAGCAGCGAGAGGAGCAGCCGTGCAAGGCTTTGGAGGAGCTGCAGCAGCATCTAGACGAGAAGGCGCAGCAAGCAGCAGCAGCGCAGCAGCAGCTGCATGCGCTGCAGCTGCAGCACGACAAATTCCGCTCTAAAGCGGCAGAGGAACTTGCAGCAGCAGAAGCAAATCAGGCGTCCCTTGCAAGAGAGCTTAAAGCTGCGCGATTAACAGCAGCAGCAACAATTGATAGTCTTCGTGCTGAACTGCAGCAGCAGCAAAATGCATGCAGCGAGTTGCGGCAGCTAAAGGAAGCAGCAGAACACCGACTAAGGGAGTGCAGCAAAGCAGCAGGAGCCACGGAGCTCGAGAGGCAGCAACTCAAGAAGCAGCAGCAGCAGCTGCAGCAGCAGCACGAAGCTATCAGAAAAAGTCTCAGCTGTATTCGCGCAAGAGCTGCAGAGGCGCAGCAACGGTGGCTAAGCGAAAGCAACCCAGCAGCAAGCATGCAGAGTTCTCTTCCTGCAGCAGCTGCTGCTGCTGCACCAAATCAAGCACAGGACGACAGCCTCTCCTTCGTCTCTTCCCCCCCGTCCCCTGCTGCTGCTGCTGCTGCTGCTGCTGCTGCTGCTGCGCCCGAGCAAGCTGCAGCAAATGCTGCAGTCTCCTTGAAAGCCAAGCGCAGCCGCGGAGGCTTCCAAGGCGGAAGAACTATAGACAAACGCAGCAGAAGCAGCAGCAGAAGCAGCAGCAGCAGCAGAAGCAGCAGCAGCAGCCGGGGTGCCGCATGCGACCCTCGGCAGGACGCCCACCTCCAACACCGCCTGCAGCATGACCAGCAGCAGCAGAAGCAGCAGAAGCAGCAGCAGCAGCAGCAGCGCGAGACAGCAGCAGAAGCCGCAGTGGCTCCCGCCCCCAGCTTTGGGGTGTACGTACACCCCGATACGCAGCAGAGGAGGCGGGGAAGGGGCCCTCAGGGGTCGGCAGCAGCAGGCGCATCAGCAGGTGCAGCAGCAGCAGGAAGTGCTGGGTTTACAGAGAGCGAGAGCTTCTGCCTCAGCCAAGCTACCGATATGTCTGCAGAAGCAGAAGCAGGGGCAGCAGACAGTCTTCTCGTTGGTGCTGCTCCTACTCGTTATACACGACAAGAATTCATCTTAGCTGCAGCAGCAGACTGTGCAGGGGATAAGGAGGCCTCCAATACTTCAGCTGTACATACACCCCAACTCTGCACGCCTTTTCAAACAAGGCGAGCAACAGACACCGCAACACTTTGCAATGTTCCTTGCATGCAGTTTTGCTGCTGCTGCTTGTCCTTCCTTCTGTCTCCTTTTGCTGCTGTCTCTCCTTCTTTTATTTCGCTGTCTCCGTCTGTACCCCCTGGGCATCACCGCTATTTTTTAATCCAGCCCCATCTTCAAGGGTTTAGGGTTTAGGGTTTAGGGCTTGGGGTTTGACGTATGTGTTGCTGCTGTACGTGCAGGTTGCATGCAGCAGCTAAAAGTGAAGAGGAGTCTCTGCTGCGCTGCAGCGCTGCTCTTCCGTTGAGTGGGGCCTCTCTGCCTGTTGTTGGCGCTACAGCAGCTACTCCTGCTGCTGCTGCTGCTGCTGCTGCTGCTGCACCGTTTGCTGCGCCTTCCGATTCTATTTCTCTGGGTTCATCGCTTCCTTTAGAGGCCTCAGCTGTCTGTTTACAATCTGAGAGCTCCGTAGACATAGAAAGAAGAAGTGCATTGATGCAACAGCAGCAGCCTTCTCTCTCTCTCGCCAATGGATCAGCAGCAGCAGCAGCAGATGATGCTGCTGCTGCTGCTGCTGCTGCCGCGAAGCGCTGTATGTACACCGCAAAGCTGAGGGAAGTGGAGGCTGCGAATGAAACCCTCAGAAAAACAAACGAAATCGTTGAAAAAGAAAATGCACTCCACAAACAGGCAAGAATATATTTGCTGCTGTTGCTGCTGCTGCTGCAGGAGGTGGTACTGCTGCTGGGGTTGCTGCGGCTGTTGCTGCTGCTTACCAGCAAGGTTGCTGTCTTTATATATGAATACATACATGCATGCATGCATGCATGCAGGCGATATTTGGGGCTGGCGTCTCCCTCTATGGGGAGAAGGAGAAGTGGGCAGGTGCGGATTGGAAGCGGTTTGAGGTGCTGCTGCCGCAGCGCAGCATCAGCAGCAACAACAGCAGCAGCAGCAAGTGCAGCAGCAGGAGCAACTTCTGTAAGTATGCTGCGTGTGGCTTTGCTTTTGTTTGTTGTATTGCCTTCCGGCTTATCTGTTTGCTGCTGCTGCAGTCTACAGACGGGGGCACCCCACAGAGTTCTTGCTGCTGATGTTGCTGCTGCTGCTGCTGTTGTTGGTGTGTGCAGCAGCTGGTAAAGAGGAGGATAGTGCAGCAGCAGCAGGACCAACAGGATCTGCAGCAGCAGCAGCAGAAAAGCTGACGCCAACTCCCAGCCAGAAACATCTCCAACCCGAAGCAAAGGTGAGAATCTAGCAGCACAAGCAGCAGCAGCAGCAGCAGCAACAGCAGCAGCAGCAGCAGTGAATAAGAGCGCGTATTGTCTGCGGGTAGGGGTGAATGGTAGTGTTGGAGAGAGAGAAAGCGAGAGAAAGAAGAAAGACATACACACCAGCTGCATGCAATGTTGCTGCATGCATGCATGCATGCATACATATTAATCGCATATATTTTTGCTGCAAGGATGTGGTGCTGGAGGTGCTGCAGCGGCATTGGGGGCGCTGAGTGCAGCAGCAGAGCGGCGGCTGTCTTGGCTTTGCTGCTGCATGCATGCAGTGCAGGGTGAGAGCAGCGGAGTTTGCGGGGGGTTGTTATATTCCTTTCTGTTGCTTCTCTCTCTTCTATTTGCTGCAGCAGCAGCACCAGCAGACAAACACTTGCTGCTGCTTCTCTTGTCTCTCTGTGCTCTCTGATGCAGCAGGAAGAAAAACACAAACAGCAAACAATTAAGTCTCTTGTGCAGACGCAACCTGTTGGCAGATATACACTGCAGCAGCAGCAGCAGCAACAGTATGATGAACAACAGCAGCAGCAGCAAGAACAGGAGCTGCAGCAGCAGCAAGAGCAGCAGCTGCAGTATCAGCAGCAACAGCACAGCAATGGGGACGAAAATCTTCGAGTGGGGGATAAAGAGGAGCAGCAACAAGCACAGCAGCAGCTGCAGCAGCAGCAGCAGCAGCAGCAGCAGCAACTGCCGCGTCCAGCGTTATCCCAAACCAGCGGACGTACGGAGACCCATCTGTCCCCAGGCGCTGCGGCAGCAGCAACTGCAGCAGCAGCACCAGAAGCAGCAGCAGCAGCAGCAGGAGACCGTGTGCAGCTTGCTGCTTCCGCTTCGTCTGTTAGAGGGCAATTGTCTACGACAAGTAGCAGAGACACCGCAGCTGCATGCAAACCCGAAGCTCAGCATACACCTGAATTGGGGCCTCTCAGCAGCGCATGCAGCTCAGCTGTAGAGACGCCGCACCCCGTAGACAAAGGCAAGCATGCTTCCGCTGCTGCTGCTGCTGCAGATGCTGCAGCAGAAGTGCAGCAACACAAAACCACTCCTCCAGCTGCTAACGAGCAGCTACCGACTCTCACCCTCAATAATAAACCGCCTCCCAACTCTGTCGCAGCAACAGCAGCAGCAACAGCAGCAGCAGCAACAGCAGCAGCAACAGAAGCAGAAGCAGCAACAGAAGCAGATGCAACAACAGCAGCAGAATCAGCAACAGCAGCAGCAACAGCAGCCGCAACAGCAGCAGCAGCAACAGCACTTAAGGCCAACGTTGAAGGCAGCCCCGGAGCTGCTGCGGCACCTGAGGTGACTCGAAAGGGAGACACAGCCAGCAGCAGCAGCAGCAGCAGCAACAGCAGCAGTTCTGCTAGCTGCGCTCGTCAGTTTGTGGAGGAGGCTGGGAGGACCTTTAAAATGAAATATCTGCAGCATCAAAAGGCAGCAGCAGAAACAAAGACAGAAAAAAGCAAAGACATTATTTTAATTAATAACGCCGTCTATAAGCCAACGGAGGCCCCCAACCCCTCCCCTTCCTCCGCCGCCTCAGCAGCAACAGCAGCAGGAGCAGCAACAGAAGCAACAGCAGCAGCAGAAGCAGCAGCAGCTGCTGCTGGTGCTGGGCGTGGGGCTCGGGTAGGGAGATGTGGGGTTTCTTCTGCTGTGCTGCTGCCGCAAGGAAGCTGCTGGAGCCCTCATTCAAGTCGCCGATGTGAAGCATGCATGGCTGCTGCATGCGGTAGGCTGCTGAGTCAAGCAAGTCCTACTGCAGCAGCAGCAGCTGCTGCTGCAGCAGCAGCAATTTACAAACGCAATGCCACACCACGCAATCAGGGAACCTGGGAAGAACAGCTCCTCCTAGGCGCTGTCAGCCCTGCTGCTTCTGCTGCTGCAGCAGAAGATGCAGCAGGAGCAGGAGCAGCAGCAGAAAGTATTCACAGCCCTTCAAAAGCCAGACACACAGAGGCGCAACCCAGAAGAAGCCCGCATGCACAAACCAACGCTGCTGCAGCTGCTGCTGCAGCTGCAGCAGCAGCTGCTGCTGCTGTTGCGCCAGCAGACGCGCTCAATCTGCTGCGGCTTCTGTACGAGCAGCTCTCAGAAGCAACATCTCCTAATGCTGCTGTTGCTGCTACTACTACCACTGGTGCTGCTGCTGCTGCATCTCCCACTCCCCCGACTGAGAAACCCCGAGGCCTTAGAAAACTTTCTTCGTGCAGGCTGATCACTTCAGATGCAGCGCAGCAGCAGCAGCAGCAGCAGCGGTTGAGAAGGGCTGGGTCTCCTGCAACGACTCTGCAGCAGGACAAGAAGACAACAAACGCACTGGCCCCAGCAGGCGCCTCTGCTGCTGCTGCTGCTCCTTCTGCTTCTGTTGCTCCTGTTGCTGGTGCTGTTCCTGCTGCTGCTGCTGCCGCTGTTGCTGCTGCTGCACTTCGGCGCGACAGCCGCAGCAGCAGCAGGTTGATGCCAGCTGCAATGCAGTCATCACAGGGGGAGAGTCGGCTGGGCGTGGAGGCAGCAAAGCCCCAAACGCCTATTCTTGCACGCAGCAGCAGCAGCAGCAGCAACAGCAACAGGAACAGCAGCAGGATGGGGGAGGGAGCTGCTGCTTTAACATTCAGCAGGGGAGCTGGGATCTGTTTGTCTCGCGTGTCAGCAGCTCGACAGACAACAGCAGCATCAGCAGCAGCTGCTGGTGTTTCTGCTGCTGCTGCTGTTGCTGCAGCAAAGACGAGACTGCGTCAGCAGCAGCAGCAGCGCATGCATAAAGAGCTGCATGCAGCAAATAGTATCAAAAAGAAAACAGAGAAGAAACCCCCGTGGGATTCATCGGCCCTCCCTCTTCAAGCCAAGAAAATGCCTTTTCATACTCTTCTTAGAAAACAAACAAAATTAAACAACTAAACTTCAAATTGTAGTCAATACAAACCGGTTTAGAAGCCTATCTGCTCTTTTATACAGTATATATATGTATATACAAATATACATATATATATATATATATGTATATATACGTGTATATATACATATATATATGCATATATGTAGATATATATGCATATATATATATATGTATATATATATGCATATATATATATATATATGTATATATATATGCATATATATATATATATATTTGCTCGTTTTTAGTTGTGCTTCCTTTCCTGAGAGAAGGTTGTGCGATGACTGCGAGGAGCGAAGAGCGCAGCAACTCTTCACCATTTTTCATCATTTAGAATATTCTTTTAGTTTATTTGTTTGATTTATTTATAATACTTTTTAGTTTGTTTTCATCATTTATAATATCCCTTTGATGAGTGTCTATTAGAGTTGTTTTAAAAAGAAATATGAAGTGCATTATATTGTGCTATAGGGGAGGAGGCGTTGGTGGGATGTATGTACAGCTGCGATATAATATTACTGTTACTATTATTAATAATAGTAATAGTAATAACAATAATATTACAAATATATTAGTAGCAATAATAATATTATTATTATTATTGATACTATTATTAGTAGTCAAGCAAACGACGCATCGAATAATTATAATAATTATTATTATTAATATTATTATTAGCGAAGCAAAAGTGCATCTTGCGGAGTTACACGAATTCTTTTTGTCTTTGAAATATAAATTTATTAATAAAATTAAAGCAGATATAAACCGGCTGTCTTATTAGAGGTGAATGGCAGTTCAGAGAAAATAACTTAGGAAATAAAGAAAAGAGATGTTGTATATATTTTTTGTTCTTTGCTGTACTATTAATAAACAGATATTATATTGTACTATATTATATTGTAGTATCATATGATAGTATCCCTTTATATTGTAGAATATTATTATATTATATATGAATTATATATTGTACACAATATGAAAAGAAATGTTCAAAATACTATTATTAATTCAAATAATAAACAACGAAAATAATTTTATTAGTCTAATATGAACCAATTAGTGGCTGAGGACTTCGTTGTAATTTCTCGTTCAAGTTTGAAGACTTCATCTGGGAGTTAGAAGGAAGAAAAGAGAAGTAGAGTTCTTTTAATATCTTTGAATGCGCATATTCATAGATAATATAATATAAATAATATATATGTATGTATGTAGCGTTTTAGTATACCTCAGTATATTGCAATATCCATAGTAGTATATATTACATTTGCATTAGAAACCCACTCATTATACATAATATTATTTCATATACGTTAGATATCTTCTCGTATATCTCAGTATACACCAACAAATATTTAAATATTATTATGTATATATTAAAGACATACTTATTGAAAAATAGTTTCAGGCCTCTAGTAGCCCTAGACGGTGGAAGAAAGGGTTTCCGCGAGACGGGTGCAATACTGCATTGATATGCGGTAAAGTGGCCCTCGTTTTTAGTGGTTTTTCCTGAATAAAAGTTAATTCAAATAAATAAAAGAAAACAAAAAGAAGTCTTTCATTTAAATTCATCGGACGATAAAGGAATAATGAAGAATACAATCGTAAGGAAATACTCCACTGGTTCTGCAGTGTAGTACTTATCGCATGGCTGAACGAGACGCTTAATAATTAAAAGAAGGCGTTGAATTGTTTCCTGTTTACCGTACAAATGAAGAAAAGAATGAAAGAATTAATGAAAGAAATATCTTCATGAAGGAGAAACCATCAAACTTAAATCTGCTGCTGTACGTACAGCCGGTGGAAGACGGCGCACCAACCACCTCTTGCAATTCATTTCAGGTTTCTGTTTGAGGGGTAGCAGCGGGGAGCGTTTCTGGAGTCTAAATGGCTATTTTTCACATATTAGAGGATGAAAATGCTAAAAATTGAACTCTTTTTACTCTAAATTTAACTATTTGCCCTTAGTTTCTCCCGCCTCGGCTGAGGGTCCGGTGTGCGGGGGCCTGTCGGCTGTCGATGGGCCGCGAGTCGGGCATCCTTCTTCTTGATCTGTCCCAATTGGAGTTCCTTTTCGTCTTTAAATGCCTAATTCTCTGAATTTCATTAAAAACAATTGCCTGTCAACTCTTTTTAGAGCCCCTTTTCAGCCGGCGTACTGCATTCTTACTCCCCTGGCTGCTGGGCTCGCAGCCCACCGTCTGAGACTGACTCGGGACCAGCGTACTGTAGCCTCCTTCTTTCTCTGTTCTAATGAAGGCCGTTTAAAAGCTGCATATACACCTCACAGCCTCCCCAGGCCCGACTGCCGGCCCTCAGCAGCAGCAACAGCGCAGCCGCAGCCGACAACTTCTGTTGCCAGTGGAAACAACTCAGTTACAGCAAACTCCCACCTCCGTGTTGACGCTACGATCTTGCAAAATGAGTCCTAAACAGCACCCTCGCATGCATGAGGGAAGAAGGAGTCTTGGAGGGACAGCTGCAACTGCAACTGCTGCTGCCGCAGCTGCAGCTCCTGCTGCCGCTGGGCGTTCCTCTCGGGCTGGCATCAAGAGGGCATCTACGGGCAAGACGGAACGGGGCCCAGCGGAGGCCCCTGCAGTAGCAGCTGCTGCAGGGCAACAGCATCAGCAGCTGCAGCAGCTGCAGCATCTGCAGCAGCTGCAGCAGCAGCACCAGCTGCCGTTTACTTCTCCTCTGCAGGAGAAGGAGACTGCAACGACTTGCCCTTCCTCGCCTCGCATGAGCGATGCTGCATGCAGCGAAAGCACCGCCAGTGAGCGCCAATCATCTGGAGAGTTCAGTTTGGCTGCTGCATGCGCTTCTGTAGACTATACAGTGCAGCAGACACCCCGGGGTGTACATGCAGCTGCATCCCGCTCATTTGTGCTGAACGACGAGACTACAAACCCGACAACACAAACACTTTTTCTTCAGAGCAGAGTCATACCTACCGACAACAATGCAGCTGCTGCTGCACCTTCTGCTCAGGCTCCTCAGCAGAAACAGCCTCACACACCAGCAGCAAACGCAGCAGCAGCAGGCTCGCCATTCCACGCTGCTGCTGCTGCAGCAGTGCCTGGCCGGCAGCGTCAGCCTGCTGCTGCTGTTCAGCAGCAACAGAAGCTACAGCAGCAGCTGCAGCATCAGCAGCATCAGCAGCATCAGCAGCAGCAACTTCTTCGCAGCGTTTCCTCTATATCCCCTCTTGCGCTGTCTATACAGCACCAGCGAAATGAACAAAAGAAAACAGAAAAGACACATTCAGAAATAAGAGCGTTTCCTGCTTCTCTTAGAACCCGGCGAATCCTTGCAAAGCCGGTAAATATAATAAAGCACTGACTGCTTCTCTTTTTCTTTTTCTTGTTAATATTCTTATTGCTTTTATTGCTGCTAATATTGTTATTGCTTGTATTGCTGTTAATATTCTTATTGCTTTTACTGCTGTTAATATTGTTATTGCTTTTATTGCTGTTTTGATTTCTCTTGTTGTTTTTTGTTTCTCGTGTTGTTTTTGTTCTCGATGAGTATTTATTTTTGTTGATATGCGCTTGTCCAAATGTACATCTTTTAAATTATTTATTTATTTATTTGTTTATTTGTTTATTTGTCTATTTTCGTTTTCTTTTGATTACAGAATGGAGGACTCAGCCCAGCGGTGATGTACAAATATCGCTGTGCTGCAGGGCAAGGCATTCAGGTGCCAGTGGTAAGCCTTTTGCTGCTGTTCTCGCCAAGCAACAGCAGCAGCAGCAGCAGCAGCAGCAGCAGCAGCCGATTAACTGCTGCTGCTGGTGTTCGCACCAAGTAGCGGCAGCAGCAGCAGCTGCTGCTGCTGCTACTACTTGGCGTTTTGTTATGTCTTTGCTGTTTTCGCCTGTGCACTCTTATTGCTGTCTTATAAACAATAAAACATATCTTTCGCCCACGCTGTTGCTGCTGCTGCTGTGTACAGCTGCTGCTGCTGTATGCATCTGCTGCTACAGCTGTGTGCTGCAGCTGCAGCTACTGCTGCTACGGAAGATCTTTTCTTTGTGTTTATTATGAGTAGCTTGATTGCACGTATATTATTCTCTTTGTGCTTATTTTGCGTTACATAATTGCATATATATGTTATTATATCTGTGTTTATTACGAGTAGTCTGATATTATATATATATATATATATACATATATATATGTTTATTTTGATTATTGTTTTTACTGTTTCAGAACCGATTGGAGACGACTCCGATGAAGTTTACGAACTGGCGGGTGTCATGGCAAGAGTTATTTTGTTATAATCCCCGGCCTTATAATATAACGGAGGCATTTTTAGCAAATTACACCGTCATAAGAGGAATGATAGAGACTTATATTCATAAGCTCACCGATATTGTCTTCGAGGTAAACTCTACGCATTTTCTGCTGGCTTCCTCTCTACTATATTATTAACAATTCTTCTACTAATATATCTCGATGCACATATATGATATTCATATGCATGCGTGCATGCATGCATGCATGTATGTATGTATGTATGTATGTATGATTGTAGGGTTATGTCTCGTTTGCATGTATGCGTTGTGTTTGCGTGCATGCATGCATGCATGCATGCAGTAGCTCTTTGCTGTTTGTTGCATTATTAATTTTTCTTATGTTTATATTATCTCTTCAGGATCGATGTACAGCCGCCTTAGCGGAGCCCCACATATACCACGCCTATCTTCTGCCTCCAGTGAAGCCGCACGATTGGCTTACTGCTGCATGTAAGCAAACAACAACAACAACACATTAAGCATTAGCTTTAGCATATATAAATATATATTCATTTATAGTTGAATGTATACATTATTCACAGTGCAATATATATATATATATTTATTTATTTATTTATCGCAAAGGAGAAGAGTATAAAGTAGAGAAAAATACAACTGGCTATTTGAGATGAAGCATATATATATATATATATATGCATATATATATATTTATATTTATATTTATATTGTAGATTTGTTTGTTTTTCTTTAGGTATTCAGTGCTACACAAGCGAAGACGCGTGGCTGGCTAAGGGGGCGTGGAGACGAAGTGCTGTACAAACAATGCGAGCAGCAAAAGCAGAAAGCATGCAGCCAACTAATCCCTGCGTAATACCTTTTATGCCAGCCTTCTCTAAAGCGCAGCAGCAGCAGCAGCAGCAGCAGTATGCATGCAGATATGCAAAAGCAGCAGCAAGCAACCCCAACAGCACACCACTGCAGCAACACAAACTCTATACTGATGCAGATGCAGATAAAGACAGACTCCCGCTGCACTTGTGGATCTTCCTAGGAGGAAAAGATATGCAGGCGTTAGACGGTAAACAAAAACAATCATATGCATCAAATCTCCTCTCTGTATGCATGCTGTCTCCACTGTCTATGCATGCATGCAGTCTGCCCTGTCTATGCATGCATGCATTTGCTTTGTCTATCCATGCATGCATTCTGCTAAATGCATGCATCCTGGGGTATGCATGCATCCTGGTGTATGCGTGCATTATGAATGCATGCATTCTGGTGTATGCATGCATTCCTTTACGACTGCATGCATGAAAGCCTGCAGGCTCGCAAAATTATTACTAGTGTTATTTTTGTTATTGTTATGATGCTTGTTATTGCTTTATTGTTATTATTGTTATTATTATTATTATTGTTATTATTGATATTATTGTTGTTATTGCTGTTATTGTTGTTATTGTTGTTATTGTTGTTATTGTTGTTGCTTTTATTATCGTTATTATTACTATCCTTGCTATTACTATTGCTGTTATTGATATTATTGTTATTATGCGTTGTTATTGCTGGTTATTCTTGTTAATGCTGTTGTTTATATTATTGTTATTGTTATTAGCATGGGCGTTATTGTCATTGTAACTGTTATTATTAGTATTATTATTATTATTATTATTATTATTATTATTATTATTATGGTTATTGTTATTGTTATTGTTTTTGTGATTGTTGTTATTAGCATTGTTTTATTCATATTGCTTTTAATGCTGTTCCTATTACTACTACTATTCCTATTATTATTATTATTATTATTATTATTATTATTATTATTATTACTATCATTATTACTATTATTGTTACTATTATTATTATTATTATAGTTATTGCTGTTGTTCTTTTTGCTGTTATGTTTGATTATGTTTAAAGGTTTGGTGATCGCATGGAAATTGCTTCGCTGGGCTTCGGAAATTCCTCCGAGCGAATTTGCAGAAAAATGCGAAAAAACCGAAGAAGAAATCGCGAAAGAAGAAATCGACGCCCCAAATACTGCAATTGATCTCTTTCGTCTGTATCATCAACAGGTCAGCCACCCATCTATATATATATATATATATATATATATATATATGCATATATATATGTATATATATATGTATATACATATATATATGTATATAGAGGTATATATATTTATATATGTAAAGTGTCTATTATGTTTTTTAGTATTGACGGTCTTCTTGCTTTTCTTGTTCTTGTTGTTGTTGCTGCTGTTGTTGTTGTTCCGATTAGTGTTATTATTACTCTGCTTATTTTTGCTGTTTTTATTATTATTCTTATTGGTTTTATTCTTTATTACGATAAGTGTATTACTATAGTAAAGATATCTTTACTATGACAAGCCTATTATTATAATAACGATATCTTTATTATAACAAGTCTATTACTATAGTAAATATATCTTTAATATTGAAAGTTTATAACTATAATAAAGATGTCGCCACTGTAAAAAGTTTACTCCGAGTGCTACGCCGTTTCTATTTTATTTGTTATTTCTTTTTGTATTTTATTGTTTTGTTTATTATATTTATATGTTTACGTTTTTATTGGGTCTTTTCTTTGTAAATTGTTTGTTTATTATGTTTGTAAATATCTGTTTTATTTGCTTGTTTATCATATTGATAATCTAATATTTGCTTTATTTGTTATTTTTCTTCTGCATGCAGCAAAGGAACCCCACACAAGATCAAACGACGCATGCAGCAGCCTGGGCTTGCGGGGAGGTTCCTTCGGAGGCAGAAGCAGGTAAACCCTAAACCTTAATAAACCCTAAACCCTAATAAACCCTAATAAACCCTAAACCCTAATAAACCCTAACAAACCCTAACAAACCCTAATAAACCCTAAACCCAAATAAGCCCTAATAAACCCTATTTATCCCGGCTAAGCCCTACTTAACCCTAATAATCCTTAGTTAACCTTATTACACTTCAACAAACCCTTTTAAAACCCTATTAAGCCCCAATAAACCCTAAACCCTACTACACTGCAGTAAACCACACCGCACGTATTAAAAGCAAAAGAAAACGCTAAAGGAGTACAAGCATAAGACCGAGCTTTCTGTTCCCTTTGCCTGTGTAGATTCCATTAGGGTTTATGGTTTAGGGTTTATTGTTGCATGCAGCTTAGGGCTATATATGAATATGTGTATATATATGTATATATGTATGTGTGTGTGTGTGTGTGTTTTCGCATGCATGCATGCATGAATGCATGCACTGATAAGATTCGAATAGGTTTTCTGCCTTTGGACCCTTTTTATTTGATTTGTCTGGAGTAAAAGAAAGCCGACTTTATCGAAATTCTTTTCTTTTTGTCGATATCCCTGGCTATGGCAACTCTACTGGCAATCCTTCACCTTGTACAATCCGCAGTGCGGTATTTCAAGTAAGAGAATTACTGTAATTAAATATATTTATTTATTTATTTGTTTATTTTCTGCTGAATCAACTTAATTAAATATATTCTATTTATTTAACTGTTTATTTTCTATTTAATGCTTTAGAAGTGGTTTGGGTGGTTATTGCTGTTCGTATTGTTTGTCCTTTGTTTGCGGTTTTTGTTGCTGTTGTTGTTAATATAATTTACTGTGTTTCTTATTATTTATCTTTTATCTTTTGCTATTCTTGTTGTTGTTACTGTTGACGTTTTTATTTCTAGTATTGTGTTGTTATAATTAATACCTTTCTTATATTATTGGTGTTATTGTGATTATTATTTTTTTTTTTATTGTTATTGGCGTTGATATTACTATTAATATCGATTATTGCTAGTATCATAGTTATTTGCATTATTTATTACTGCTGTTCTTCTTGTCTTCTTGCTATTACTGCTATTATTATTATTATGATTTATTATTATTATTATTATTATTATTATTATTATTATTATTATTATTATTATTATTATTATTATTATGTTTTTTTACAGGCAGTGAAGCACGGCATTCAGGAGTTAATAGAGCAGCACGGGGAGACTTCGATAGTGTTGAATATTTTGGGGTATTCTCTGGGCTGTGCGGTGGCGACATCTTTAGTAGCAGATTTATCTGCTGCTTTTTTGAACGATAGTTTGTATGCAACCCCGAGCTACTGCAAAAGCAACAGCAGCAGCAGCAGCAGCTACCATCCGCAGCAGCAGCAGCAGCAGCAGCAGCAGCAGCAGCAGCAGATGTGGAGCGATATAGCCACTGTAGATGCAGCACTTGCAAGAACGTTTAACTTGCAAGCTAGTAAGAAGAGAGCAAAGGGAGATCTAAGCTTTGATGAAAGCATGCTAACATTTCGAGATGCTTTTAATGTTTGTTTATTCACAAAAGAAGAAACAGACATGGTTGCCAAAGTACATGGCTGGACTCCTTCCGCTGGTTATTCAGGCGTCCGCTTAGCAGTAAGCAAAATTCATTATTCAATTTATTCTGTTTTCTAAGAAATTCATCAATTAATATATCCTCTTGTTCTCTTTTCTAAGAAATTTATTATTTATTTTATCCTATTTTCTAAGAAATTCATTTAATATCATTCTCTTATTCTTTTTTCTAAGAGAAATTCATCATTTATTTTATTTTATTTTATTTTATATTGATATCAGGAACTGATGATGAGGATAATGCTGGTGCTGCTAATGCTAGTTGTTGTTCTTGTTGTCGTTTTGTTTTTATTGTTGTTTTGTTGTTATTGTTGTTTCGTTGTTATTGTTATTTTGTTGTTATTGTTATTGTCGTTTTGTTGTTATTGTCGTTTTGTTGTTATTGTTGTTTTGTTGTTATTGTTGTTGGAGTTGTTCCTCTTCTTGTTCTTCTTGTTCTTCTTGTTGATGTTTGTGTTTGTCTTTGTTTGCTGGAGCTGCTGCATATTTGTGCGGTTTATAATTATAATTTCGTTTGTTGCATTTGTTCTGATTTCACGCTGTTGAGATCTCTTTGCATATGCTATCCGCAGCAACGCATTTGTGTTTTCTTCTTATTTTTGCTGCTTTCTCCTGTTTTTCTGCTCTTTTTCAGGTAAATCGCCTTATTCTTCTCGCTCCATTCACCTCAACGAAAGCAATGGCTTCAAAAGTAGCAGCTTCAGCAATGGGAGGCGGCAGTTTTCTATCGCGGGCTGTCAGTGGACTTGTAAGCAAGCAAATTGCGTTTGATAACAAAGAACAACTTGAACGGTTCCTTACAAATGTTAAGGGTAAGTAGTAGAGAGAAACATTTATTTATTTGTTTTAGTCGTCTTAAAAAGAAAAACAAGCATTTTTCCTCTGCATGTTCACTGTTCATGTTTGCGTGCTGCTTCACTCTAAAGTACATTAGGCCGATCTTTGTTCTTGTTCTTGAACTGTTTCTGCTGAAATCCCTAAACCCTAAACCCTAAACCGTAAACCCTAAACACTAAACACTAATAAGGCCTACTGATAGTTTTGTCGGTGAGGGTGGTGTTTGCATGCATGCAGATTTGCAGGAGAAGACAGATGTTTCCGCGTTCCGATCTTTGCGAATAAAGATACTCCATGGCGATAAAGATAATGTTATTCCCTGGACAATGGGTTTTGAATTGTTTAACTCTGTTGCCGCTCTCAAGAAACAGCTTAATCTCCAGATTCCTATAAGCGTAAGTTTGTATGAACCCATGCAAGCACCCGATTCATGAATATTTTTGCGTTTTGTTTGAAATAATATCATTTATTTTGATAATAAATGCCATATTATAATGAAAATAACTATTTTTATTCAAAGTAAACCATGATTCCACTCATATTCCTCTCGAATACACCCCAATCGCACTTATTTTTGCGGCTTTCTTCTTTGCAGTTTCAGCGGCTCCAGGGAGAAACACACGCCAGCATTTTAAGCGGAGGGAGCGAACGACACGTTTTTGAAAGTTGTTTTAGTCCTTACCATCTTCATCCTGCTGCTCCGCTAGCTCTTTTAAAGTTTTATTCAAAGGAAACCCACTTACCTTACGCCCTACCACCGCGAGGCATTTACTCCAGCAGCTTCAATGATGTGCGCGAAGTAAAAATGTTCGGATCTCAACAAATATCAAACAACAACAACAGCAACAGCAGCAGGGGCCATGTGCTTCAGACTCGTAGCATGCACATACTGCATACCTCCCCGGCAGCAGCAACAATAACAGCAACAGCCGCAGCTGCAGCAGCTGCAGCAACTGCAGCAGCAACACCACTTAGCGCATGCAACCCATATAAACTCCTTGCTAGAGCCAATACAATTGGAGGGCCGCCTTCTCAGCAGCAGGCGGCGCTGCAGTTGTCGTACAGTCGATCTACCGGCCTTAGTATTCTGCAGCCCGTAGGGCTCCAGCAGCAGCAGCAGAAGCAGAAGCAGCAGCAGCAGCAAGGCAGCATCATCTCAGTGTGCAGGGGCAGCCTAGGATCTGCTGTTAGCCCGCTGGCCTGGAGCAGCAGTAAATTCAACAGGTCTTCTTCGCTAACGGTACAGGGAGCAGCAGGTAGGAATTATTTGTCTATTTATAAAAAAGAAAAAATAAATATTATTCATGCCTTACTGTGGCTGTACGTAAGTACACTCAAAACGTATTTAAAAGCATCTGTTGATGTAATTGTTTTTCTTTGTTGTTTCTGCTTGTTCTGTCTTTATTTTAATTTCTTATGCTTTTGTTGTTTGCATTCTTGCTATTGTCATTGGTGTTTTAATTCTTTTTGTTGTTGTCGTTTTATTCTTTTTATTGTTGATGTTGTTATATCTCCTTTTATTCCTCTTTATTGCTTTATTTGTATTGTACATTATTGCTGTTTTTATTATTCTCATTTTGGGTTTAGGGTTTAGGGTTTTACGTTGTTGTTATTCGTGTTATTTTAATTATCTTTCGTTTTATTTGTTATTTTCATCTCATTTCCTTTTTGTTGTTTTATTTTGTTTAATTTTGTTTTTGTTTTTTTTGTTTGTCTTTTCTTAGATATAACAGGGGGAGTTCGGCTCTTAGATTATTCAAATTCATCTTTGTCTGCTTTCCCTCAGCTTTGCATTGTAAGTGTCTTTATTTATTTATTTATTTATTTATTTTAATTAATATTTTGTATTTATTTAAAGGCTGCACTAACCGCATGCACTTAATCTGTTAAGCTGATTACTGTCTGTCTCTGTGCTGTGTACAGACACCCCAGAATGCGCAGGGGTATAAAAGCACCAATAGCGGAAGCGGCAGCCATTTGTATTTAAGCAAAGAATTCAACAGTTGGCCACTGCAGCAGCAGCAGCCGCAGCAGCAGCCGCAGCAGCAGCAGCAGCAGCGAAGCCCTACCCCTCCACCCGTCTACCGCGCAGCCCCGCGATAAATCGACGAAGACATTTTGAATAAAATCCAACATATATGAAACTCGTTAGGGGGCATTTATTTATTTAGTTGTCTTTATTTATTTAAGTGCAGCAGCAGCAGCATTCGATGTTGCTGCTGCTGCAGTCACTAGACAAAAATAACAAATAACCCTCAGCAATAAACCAGCTGCATATAAGCAGGTGGAGCAGCTTCCACCTTATTTGCGTTTACTCTGTCTCTGCTGCTGTTGTTGCTGCTGCTGTTGCTGTTCGGGCTGTTGCTCCTGTTGCTGCTGCTGCTGCTGTTCAAGACAGAAACCAGCAGCAATTGAAGCAGCGCAGTGTCCTTCACTGTCGTTAGCAACAGCAGACACAGTGCAGCAGCTGCTGAAGGCGTTTGATGACCGTTACAATCATAGCATAACAATATAAAAAAGTAAAAGAAAGAAGAGGAATACGCATTTTTATATGCTGCCGTCCAAGTAATAAATAATATTATTAAGAGTCTCAACATCTGCACACTAAACGAGGAGAAACAAAATATTTATTTGCAACGAAAACAAATTCAAACATCGAGTGGCTCTCAGCCAATCTCTCTCGCTATCTCTCTCTCTCTCTCTCTCTCTCTCTATATATATATATATATATATATACATTCTATACATATATCTATATCTAGATATCTACATATGTATATATATATATATATTTCTACATTTTTGTCTGCCTCTATATCTTTCTAAATCTACATATATATATATATATATATGTTAGCCTCATGCCACATGTACGATGTAAATGCATTAAACGACGACAGAAGAAAGAGTACTTAAAGAAAAAATGAGAAAAATTTGTTTATTTTTTTCTACAGAAAAATTCGCTGCGCAAAGAGGGGCAGAGAAAACCAAAAAAAAACCAAAAAATGTTGTCGAATAAATCAAAGTTTCTTGCATTTGTTTATCGAGTTTATTAATTCAATAATATATATTATTTATATTAATCGTAATAATAAAATAACAACAAAAAATAATATTTATTATTCTTATTTACTTATATATATGTGTTTATCGTATTATTAAATAATGTTTATATGGGTTTACCCATAAGGTTTATTAACGCGAATTGTTTATCCATATTAATAAATTAATAAACCCAACTTATTATTATTTGTATTTGTTTATTTATATAAACGTGATTTATAAAAAAAAACAAGAAACAAGATTTATCATCATATAACGAGATTTGTTAATCTCTTGCGTAAACACCATCTATTAGAACTGCCCATCTTACTTGTTTATATATAATATATATATATATATATATATAGATATATTCATATATATATATATGTTATTAGTATCCTTAATGAATCATACTTTAATACATTTGTTCATCCCGTCTATATATATATATATATGCATCTTTTCAAATACATACATATATACATATATATATATATATACTTATAATAACCGCATTCATAAATAACATGTCCACCCTTTTTTATTAATATCATTTATTAATATACATAAATTGCATAGATAAATGAAAATAATAAATATTATTTATTACTTTCATCAGCGCCGTAAGTGAATAGACTATATAATATATATATATATATATATATATATA